GACTGAATCCTGCCTGTTGATTGGTTTCTGTGGCAAATATGCCATGAACATGGACGTATGCCTCTGTCTTCACCAGCGTATTTTGTTGTCTTTTACAGACAGTATAAAGACTGGATAATATAAAATAGCATAATGTTCAAAGCAACATGGACGATAATATCATCTGCGATATATATGTCCCACCTCTACTAGGGTTGGGTACCGAAACTCGGTTCTGTTATGGCATCGGGGCGAACATCCACGGTAGTACACAGACCGAAACACATCTCTAACTTCGGTGCTTTATTTTGGTGCCTCAAAGAAAGCTGTTAATTTGCGCCCTCTGGTGTTCACTGTTAACAGTGACAGCCTCAGCACACAATCTCCATGGACTCTCTTGTATGCTGTTGGACTCGGCTCGGTTTCGGCCCAATAGCACCTCTCCAAGCGCGCTCCACAGCCGCGCTGTCTCAGAATCTCCTCTCCGGTGGTTCTGGTAGAAGCGAGTACAGCAGCTATGATTTTAACCTCAGCAGAATTCTGCCCGTGGATTAACTCTTGGATTGACTGACAGCAAATTTCCTCCTGGAGAGAGCTGCTTTTGTTTAGGAACACGAGCGCGCGGCGCGATACAACAACATGGTGAAATAAAACTGCCTTTTTGAAAAAAGCAGAACTTGTAAACATTTCCTGGAGAGAGGTGAAGGAGACGAAGCTGAGCAGATCACGGGAGGTTTTCAGCATAATGGCCAACACGGTTACACAAGCACTTAGCTAAACAGCTCCGTGAAAATAAACAAATAAATAAATAAATAAATAAAAGTTAAGTCCGAACGGTAAGACCACAACAGCTTTTTTATTTTATTTTTATGATTATTTTTAACACAACAGCTGAAGCTGCTGTGGACGGTCCACACATTATCACACCCACTGCGTGGAGACACATGAACACTGAGCAGAACCGACCCGACCCAAAGTGAATCTAGTAGAACCGAGTTCATGGAGAGGTGCTAACAGGTGCTGCTGCAGTTAACAGTTATAAATTGTATATTATAGTCGAGATGTCGAAAGCAAAACGGTCCAAAGTGTGGTGTCACTTTACAAAATAAGATGCAGAAACTTCCACCTACAACAAATGATTTAACAGTATATTGTATATTATAGTCGAGATGTCGAAAGCAAAACGGTCCAAAGTGTGGTGTCACTTTACAAAATAAGATGTAGAAACTTCCACCTACAACAAATGCTTTAAGAGTATTTGGTGCAAAGACAAATTATTAATGGTTTTAAGTTAATAAGTTGGTCAATTTCAAGTTTGACTTTGACTCAGAAATAGTTATTGCTTCATAAACCTCTGTGTGAGTGTGTGTGTTTTATTATTTATTTATTTTTAAAGTACCGATTTAAATACCGTTTAAGAACCAGTATCGATTTGGCACCGGTATCGAAATAAACCCTTTCAATACCCAACCCTAGTTATTTATAACTAGAGCTGTACAATAAATCGTTAGAGCATATTTATTGCAGTGTATACAGTATGTGAGCAATAATCAGATTGCAGGTCCTGGTTAAGTTTTTCGCATCACAATATACATCACAGGGAGAAAAAAACTATGTCAGTTTTTGTTTTTTTTAATTGTCGAGCCCCATTTATAACGTTTCCACAGAACCGCACTTTAATAGACGTGAAGCGTTATTTAAAGACTGAATTGTTGATGTTAATCTTCAAAGACTGATGGCCAACCAAGGCCAAGTTACATTTATCATCAATTATAAATCCTGTATATCAAAAGCTTTGTCAGCAGCAGCAGACTTCCTGTGAGTGTTCATCTTTCACAGGAAGTAACATTTTGACTCTTTGGGAGGCTTTTTGACATGAAACACACAGGCAGGAAGTGATGAGTTTTATTCACACCATCTTTACTCATTGAAGAGAAGTGAGTGGAAGATAACCACTGAGCACAAAGTGACATTGCTTCAGGAACTTAAAGCATTTAAAGAACTTAAACCTCTCAGTTTTACCATTGATGTTGTCCTCTAACAAGAAACACGTGGAGCTATGATTCAGTGAGACAAGTGTCTTAGGAGTTTTTATATTTTTACTGTTGCCTTCACATTCTGCACTATTAGACTCTTAGAACAGAGATTCTTAACCCATGGGCTGCGGCCCAATTGTGGGCCGCGAGCACCACCTTGAGGGCCTCAAAAGAACAACAGTTTTCAACTTTGGGCTGCAGAGGCCGGGGGACCACATTGATTTTGAATAAGGTGCAATACACTTTCTCACCACTAGTAGCAGTAGTGCGCCACTCAG